GCACAGTCCCCTCTTCCATTACCTGTCCCCTCCCTCTGTTGCCCCTACCTTCTGCTCACTCCTCTCTGGCCCAGTCTCCATCTCCCGCTCCCTTTGCTGCCCCCTTGTGGCCGTCCTGGCCCCTGGGCCTCCCCGCTGCTGGTTCTCTGACCCGGTCCTGGTCCCATTTAGCAAATGCTCCAATCCTCTTAGACCAGGCCAGCCTCAGGAGAGCAGAGAGAGAATTAGATCGGAGTTGGGGAGAGGAGAGGGGACACATGGAGGAAGGGGAGGGTGGGCAGATAGAACACGGCGACAGCCCTGGGAGTTGCCAGGAGGTAACAAGAGCCCCCACTGCTTATCTGACAGATCCAGTAGGCACGGGACACAGGCGCCCTGAGGATGGGGTGCAGAGAGAAGACGGAGGGGCAGAGAGATCAAGGGGCAGAGGCGCCGAAGGATTAGAATGAGTCTCTCTGTCTGGGCCGCTGAGGGCCTGCAGATTTTGTTATCTCTCATCCAGATTTCTAGGGGCACAGATCATTGTCAATAAATCTCATTTCCTTCTCCAAGGAACCCAATTTTTTTTGGCGAAAAGGCCGACTCCAGGTCTGAGGCAGGAAATATCGAGATGAGCCTGGAGCACCTTGTCACACCGAAAACACGAGGCTCTCGGAGGTTTCCGGGGTATGTCCCCGATCTCAGGGGACAAGCTGAAGGAACCAAAGGGGGAACGTTTTGAGTTTCAAAAAAAACAATGTCTGCAATGGGATGAAAGATGTCAAGTACGTAAACACCCGTGGGTTCAAGAAAGGGAGGAAAAATAACTAGCGAGAGTCCCAGAGGCTCCAGTGTAGTATGCAGACGTCACTAAATCGGGGAGAATCCTGTATTTCTCCCGCCTTCCCTGTGCACAGTGTGAGGGTAAACAAACAGCTAAAGAGAGACGTGTCTTCCTTGTGGAAGAGTTACCCCCAATAAATAAAGAATATAGATTTTTGCATTTCCTGTGAAATAAGGGTAAGTCTAGTCCAGTGCTGACCAATGGAACTTTCTAGAATGATGGAAAGGAATATCCTGTATCTGGCCTGTTCAATATGGTAGCCACTGGGGGAAAAAAAAATATATATATACACATATACATATAAATATATATAAATATGTATGTATATGTATATACATATTTATATGTATATATATATTAGCCACTGACAGCCACCATATATATATATACATATAAATATGTATATACATATTTATATGTATATATATATAATATATATTTATATGTATATATATATATATTAGCCACTGGTGGCTGTCAGGCATTTAAAATGTGGCCATGGAAATGAATTTTTAATTTGCTGTCATTTTAATTCGTTTAACTAGCCACGTGTGGCTACTGATCATCTTATTGGACCATACAGGTGACGTTCACCTTCGAGCCTGTGACTCTGAGTCCTGGAATAACGTGCCGTGGGGTGGAGAGACTTTAAAAACAGAGCGGCTCAAGGTGTGTATAGCAGCTTTATTCACAGTGGCCAAAACTTGAAAGCAACCAAGACGTCCTTCAGTCAGAGATGAACAATCTGGGGTCCATCCGGAAACTGGAACGTTATTCAGCGCCAAAATCCATGAACTATCAAGCCATGGAAGACATGGAAGAATCTTAAATGCGTGTTACTAAGTGAAAGATGCCGATCCCAAAAGGCTGCCTACGGTATGATTGCGACTCTATGACCTTCTCGTAAAAGCACAGCTAAGGACCCAGGAGAAGACCGGTGGTTGCCGGGGTGACGGGGGGGGGGCGGGGCAGGACGAGCAGCAGAACACGGAGGGGTTTTAGGGCAGGGAAACTACTCGGTTTGATACCATAATGGTGAATGCATGTCACACTACACATTCGTCCAAACCCACAGAATGGGGGAGCCAGGAGAGAGGACCTGAATGCAGATGACAGCCTTTGCGTCATAAGGGGGGTCAGTGTAACCTCATGGATTGCAACCAACGCACTCCTCTGGTGGGGATGTTGTTGATTGCGGGGAGCCCCGGCTGCGGGGAGCACGTGGAGCAAACGCAGCACGTCCCTCTCGTGTGGGACGGCACCCAGACACGCCAGCTTCAAAAAGACGTCTCCATGACCATCATGGAAGGCCGACCCTGGGCTGAGTACTGCATGATCGTCAGGAGTGACTACTAATTTTGCTAAAAGCGTCCACAGCCTTGCAGTCATGTGGAAACAAAAATTAACCCAAAAGAACGGAAAACAAAAACTTGTTCGTGAATGTTCATAGCAGCCCGATTCACAATCGCCCAATTATGGGGACCAGCCAGATGCCCATCCGCTGATGACTCGACCAGCAAATGTCCACACGGCGGAGTATTATTCCATCATAAAATGAACAAAGCGCTGACGCGGACGAACCTCGGAAACGTCCCGCCAAGGGAAAGAAGCCAGACACCCAAGTCCACACATTTCGGATTCCATTTTTGTGAAGTATCCAGAATAGGTGAATCTTACAGAGCCAGAAAGGGAATTAGTGGTTAGCAGGGGCTGGTGGAGGGTAGAATGGGGAGTGACAGCTTAATGGGTGAAGGATTTCCTTCTTGGAGTGATGAAATTTTCTATAACTAGGAAGGGGTGATATTTGCGCACGCTGAGAATGTACTAAATGCTTCCGAATCAATCGTACACTTGAAAGTGGTTCGACTGGTACGTTTTATGTTATGTGGATTTTACCTCGATTTTTAAAAAATATGTCAGGAGGACAGGCACAAAAGGAGAGGGTGCTGGCAGGGTACCTTCTTCCTTCCTGCTTTGAACATGGATGCAATGCCTGGAGCTGCGACGGCCACTTTGCCACCGTGAGCCAAAAAACCAAGCAGATGAAAAGCCAGCGAACTAAAGAAAGGCGAGAGAATGAAAAGATAGAAAAATTCTGAAACTTCGATTACACCAGCCTCGAGATTCTTAACAATACATGTCCTCAAAGTTTAAAACATTTTTCGAAAGGTGGGAGGAGCTGCCTGCCACGAGGCGCTGCTCAGCGGAGTCACTGAGGGGTTGGACTAAGGAGAGAGGGACTCGGTCTTTGCCCTGGGTAGTAAAGAAAAGCAGGGAGGTGTGCAAAGCAGTTTGAAGACCTCTTCACGCCACGAAGGCTTCGAGGGTACAATCTCCCATTTTGTGCATGACCTTGGCCGTGCCCGATCCCAACCTGGGGTTCCCTCCACCCCCCACCCTCATCCCCTTGCCTCCGCCCTCCACCAAATCTTCACCCAGAGGTGCAGTCACTTGTCTTGAGGTCCCATAGTCAGCAAGGAGTGAAAGAATTCGAAAAAGAGAGATTTTTCCCTCTGCCGTACGTCTTTGAAAAGCGTCATGTCACCAAGCCAAAAGACGGTGACTCCCTTGACTAGACTAAATCTCAGTGGCCGGAAGTGATTCCGCGGGAATCCCCTGGGATGGTGGCATTTTGCTTCCTGGTGACCCGAGGTGATCCGGGAAGAGGAAGTTCTCACGGTCGGCCACATGGTGTCGCTGCGGGAAAAGAAGTCACTGTGCAGCCTGGTACCAGGGCTGGGACCCATGTTCTTGCTGAATTCTCTTTGCTTGAAGGTGTGAATTACCTTAAACTAGGATCGTGGCGCTTTCTCTTTCTCCACCGTAAACGAAGTAAAATTAAAACAAAGGGACGGTGGCGGATATCACGAGGGCTCTCCCCACTTCCTGAACACAGGATCTCGGACACATGACATTTCGTTCACGTTTGTGATTTGAACGGACTTTTTCAGGATCGGTAGATGCACACGAGATGTAAATGGCCCTCTGTGAACGAGCTTCCGAAAGCTCTACTCCTACTTTTGAAATGCTTTTATTTATTCATAGCCACCAGGACCCGCCCTTTATAAAGTGGATCATAAGGGAGGTTTTCCAAACCCCAAGGGACCCGCCCACGCCTTCGCGGCTCAGCGTCAGCTGTGGGAGATGAAACGTCACAATGGGATTCTGAACATAACGACCGGCCGAGGTTTGTCTGCACGGAAGCAGGACCAAAGCGGCCAGACTGCCATCGCGGTGACCGTCTTGCCCCATGAAATATGAATGACTGGGCCCCTGAGACTTCCGGTGCGGGAGCTGGTGTGGCCCTAGCGGCCGCCCCACAGCGATGACACAACGTGATGGCCGATGCCCACATGCTCCTTAGGCTTCGTTGCTGGAAGACATCCCTCGGGCTTGCCGGAAGGGGCTAACCGCACCCCGGCCGTCCCTAATTTAGCTGACAAGGGCTAAAAACTCTCCCAGGATCCAAGTGCCCGTGACACCGGGCTCAGCCGTGTGACGCAGCAGGTGGGAGGCTCGCAGTGACGAGCACGGAGCCTCGAAAGGCCTCCACGGGGCTCTCATCACCCTGAGGACACATCTAGCCAAGGCTGGTGGCCTCGGGTGGCCGCCTTGTGCAGACAGTGAGCGCTCAGAGAAAGGGAGCCGAGTTTCTAGCCCTGGAAGTTCTCGGGTGTCACTTCCGCCAGCCTCTGTAGGTTGTTGGCCTTCGAGGTTGCCGAAGTGAGCCGAATCCAACCTGACTGGTGTCTTATGTGTAAGCGGAGGAAATCTGGACGTGCACTGGCCACCAGGGGACTTCTGCAGACACCACGTGAGGACACGGTGAGGTGGCCGCCATCCACAAGCCAAGCAGAGGCCTCGAGCAACCACACCCGCCGACACCTGCCACCTCCAGACTGTGAGAAGGTGAACGAGCTCTGGGGTCTTGTCACAGCAGCCCCAGCAGACTGATGTGGGAGATGCTGGGGCTGCAGGAAGATTCATTTGAACCAAAGGTCTGGGCACCTGAGTCTCGTTTAAATTCGCATCACGCTGCAGAGCTGCGGTCAGCGCTTACTGACTAGTGGGGTGCCTGGCTGTGGTGCTCAGGTCCAGGAGGCTGCTTTTCTGGAACAGAGACAGGAGGAAGGGGAGCGTTCCAGGGGTCGGATGGACACATGTAGACATGGGCACGTTTGGTTAAACTCATCCAATGTTTATTGAATCGTGAACCGTTGCAAATATGGCTGAAATCTGAGACTCACTCACCCGGACCCCTGTCCTGGCTCCCCCCCTGAGAAGGGAGCCTGGAGCAGGACCACCCAAACGGCAGAGGGGAGATGGGGAGACATGGGGGCGTGCAGGGAGGTGGTGAAGGGGAACAGGAGCAGTGGGCAAAGGTAGATTCCGGGGAGACACACACACTCACTCACACAGGCAAAGACCGGGCCGCAACCTCTGCCCCGCCCGGCGGCTGCAGAAACATCGGGGAGAGACCGGCATCCACAAGACGTTTCAGTCCGTCCCGTCATGAAGCATCTGCTGAGAGGGGCTGGGCCGAGGCCGCTGGACTGCGCGGGGAGGAGGGGAGGCGGGGTCAGAGAGCGGTTGGGGCTCGCGGCAAAGGGTAGAGCGGGAGGAGGGAGACGGGGGAAATACAACCCCAGAGAGAAACTGAGGCACAGGGGACGTGGGAGGCCCGTGAGGGGAACATTCTAGCCCAACAAGGCAAGGGGGGCCGAGGCTTAGTTCCCATGAGTTTGTCGCGAGAAAGGCTGCTGTCAGGCCTGCCATGGGAGCCCCCAGCTGGCTTCCAGAAAGCCTGACCCAGTAACCCTGGGGGGAGGTCAAGGTCGGTTCCCAGAGGAGCTCACAGCCCAAACTGGTTTCTCCCACACCCCTGTCGGCCTGTTCCAGCTCAGACCACTTCACTGGTCACCTCCTGAATAGGCAGGACTCACCTCGCCCTAAGACAGGTCTGCCTTTGGCCTCAGCTAATTAAGAGTGACCTCAAAGCCCCTGGAATGTCCTGCCTGTAAGTGTCTGGGTTGACCCGGGGCCACACGGCTCATCTGTGCCCACAGTGAGATGGATTGGGGGGGGGGCCTTGGCCCTGAGGCGGCAGCTCTTGACCTCTGGAGGGGCTGGAGGCTAAGATCAGCCGCAGCAACGTGACCAAACTCCAATAAAAACACTGGACACCACGGCTCGGGTGACCTGCGCTGGCTGGCGACACTGTGCTGTCGCACACCACGGCTGGGAGGAACTGAGTGCTCTCCGCATGGCTTCACTGGGAGGCACCCCGAAAGCTCACTTCCCGCCTCCCCTGCCCTCTCCCACCTGCTTCTTCCCTCCACCGACTTCAGATAAACGTAAGCACGGGTGTGACAGCTGTGCCCGGTTCCGGGGGGTCTGTGGGACCCCAGAAACTACTCACAAAACACGCAACCGGGAAACCCTCCCCCCGCTTCTCTCTCACATCGATCTGGTTTTGCTTCTGTTGGATGCGATCGCCCACTGGAACCCCCCAAACCCTGTGCAGATTTCAGCAGCCGCCTGAGTTATGGACGGTCTGGCAGTGACATGTGGTGTTTATGCGAGCGATGGGCCCCATCTGAGTCACTGAGAATTCGCGTCCCGTGAGTGTGGCACCGCTAACCCTACCCCCACCCCTCCTTACAGCGACAGTCCACAATTCATTCAGCTCCTGCAGCTCTAGAACTGTACGGTTCTTGATTTTCCTTTCAGTTTGGGGAGACCCACTTCATTTCAGACCCATACTCGAGGCATGATGTTTGCACATCCGCTCTGCATTCACAGAAATTTGCACGCCCAAATTCACAGTGAACGTGACCTCACTCTGGTCTAGCAAAGCGCTCTCAGAAATGGAACTTGAGTTTAAAAGCATCTGAGGCCTGTTTCCGGGGCAAAGCATGCTGGGGGCAGGTGCCTAGGTCCACAGTGCCCTGGGCTGGATGCTCAGTTCTAGGACACGGTGTGGTGGGACCCAGCACTCAAGTCTGGGTGGGAGACAGTGCTTTACGCTCTCAAGGGTCAGGAGCCAGGATGTAGCTCTGGGCAGGGCTACTGCCCAGTGCCCAGTTCCAGGACAGGTTGGCTTTGGGGCTGATCTGGAATACAGCAGCGTGACAGCGGGCTCAGAAGGTGCTGACAAGCAGTCCTACGAGGTGAGTCCCGCTACTTGTTCTGGAATGCACTGGGTGAAATGAGCACTCGGGTTTGGTGGGTATCAGGACTAGGAGGCAGCTCCAGAATTCGGGAGCTGGGCACCCCTCACCTCTGCCTTCGGGGCACCTCAGCCCTGAGCTAAGGCGGCTTTGATGGCGGCCACCAGCTTCAGAAACTTGCTTTCCGTGTCCACGTAGCCATCGCCTCTCTGGGGACGGGAGGGAAAGGGAAGGAGTGAGCTGTGCCTAAGACACCCACCCGACCCCCGATGCCTGCGAGCCCCAAACGAGGGGGTGACACAAACCTTCTTGGAATGGACCAACTTCCCTGCCACCATCACTTCGAAGAACCCGGTAACGTGGGGAGTCCCCTCGCCACTCTGGGGAGAGGGAGAGAAGCTGCAGGGGCGCCCATGCCCTGTGGGGACACGGCCCTTTCCCGGGGGAGGGCCAACCCCAGCAGAGGGTGGAGCCAGCCCACACTGCCAGCCAGGGACAAACCACCGTTTGATTCCTTCCCCGTCCCCACACTCACGATGTCCAGGCGTCCAGGAAACTCATCTTCTAACTTCTTCTTGAGCTGAAGATACTGAACGGGGGCGGGAGGTCGCAACAGCGGTCAACGGGGGTCCCGCCAGCTAACCCTCCTCCCTCATCCTCCAGGGAGGGCCGAGGCCGCCA